ATGGTCTTGAGGAGCTCGTGGGCGCGCTTCTTCGCGAACTTGTTCCGCGCCAGGTCCTGGAGCACGCGCGCGGCGGCGTCGACCTCCTTCGCGCGCCGCCGTTCCTCGGCGAAGTGCTTCTTCGTCTTCTGGGGCTTGGGCGCGAGCGTGACGCCGCGCATGGGCACGAGACCCGCCTCTTTCGCTAAAGTGAGCAGCTCCCGCGACAGCTCCGCGTTGAAGCGCTCCGCGTCCTCGCGGCGGCGCCGCCGCGCCTTCGACCCGTCCGGGTCGTCGTCCTCGAGCTCCAGCCTCGTGCCCGCGGAGCTCACGGACGCCGACTCGTTGCCGCCGTGGACCATGGCCAGGCGGCCGCCGCCCCGGGGCGGCCCGTCCTTGGTCACCGTCTTCCGCCGCTCGAGCCGGCCCCGGAAGACCGCCTGAAAGAGCACCGCGGACTTGTGCTCCTCCTCCGTGCGCACGTCGCGCTCGCGCACGAGGCGCTGCATGAACTCGCGCCGCTCCGCGAGCATCTCCTCGTTCTTGCGCCGCCGGCTGATGCCGTCGACGAGCACCTGCGCGAGCGTCGTCGTCGCGCTCGTGTCGGGCTTGGGGCTTCCGAGCGTGAGCTCGTAGGGCAGCTTGCAGCGCGGCCGCAGCTTGCCGCTCCCCGCGGCCCGCCGGCCCACGCCCCGCCGCTGGCTCGGCTCCACGTAGCGCCGCGCCGTGTTCGTCGTCACCATGATGTCCATGTGGGTCGTGCGCGTCGACACGGTGAAGAGCGGCGGCGCGTAGACCGTGGGCCGCCGCCCGACCCAGTGGTGCTGCTGCGACGACGCCGTCGACTGCGTCTCGCCCCCGTCGTAGCTCTCGCCCCCGTCGGCCATGGCCACACCGCCGGACGGTGGTAGCGCCGTCCCGCGGCTCGACACAAGCGCGGCAGCCCTGATAGGATACGCACGGTGCCGTGCAGCTGCAGCGCGGGCCGCAAAATGGGGCTGGCCGGCTAGGCTCGGGCCCGAGGGCGACCGCACGATGGACCAGGACGACATCATCACGTTGGCGGACCGGGGCGTCGCCGCCGTCGAGCAGCGCGAGAGCAGCCGGAGCCCGAAGAAGCGCGACGCGCTGCGCGACTCCCTGCGCGACTCGCTGCGCGCCGGCGTCCTGCGGCCCGTCGACCCCATGGCGAAGGTCGAGGCGGAGCTGGCGCGGCTCCGGAGCGACCTCGCGGCCATGGCGTCCCGCGTCGAGGACCTCGGCGGCCTCGTCGCCGCCGCCGCGGGCCGGCCGCGGCCGTCGGGCGGCCCCGGCGCGGCGGCGCCGAGCCCGGAGGAGGAGAGGCTGCGGAGCTTCCGCACGTCCGAGGCCGCCGTCGAGAGCGCCCTCGTGTCCTTCGAGCCCGCGGTGCTCGAGGACCTGCGGCGGCGGGAATCCGTCGCCGAGGCGCCGCCCGAGCCCGAGCCCGCCGCGGGCGCCGAGGAGACGAAGACCGCGGAGCCGCCGTCGGACGACGGCGCGCTGCCCGAGGACGACGACGACGAGGAGCCGCAGACCCTCGCGATGGCGCGGCCGTCGGTGCTGAAGCGCGAGCTCAACCAGGGCCGCGCGTCCGTCCGCGGCGCGCTCGCGAAGCAGGAGCTGCTCTGGCAGATGTCGAGCGACGCCGCGCGGCTCAAAGAGCTCGAGTCGCGGTGGCTCGTGCGCTACGGGTCCCTCTTCCACACGTTCTGGGGCCAGTCGATCAACGTGTCGTCCGCGTTGGTCTTCGTCATGTCGACGATCACCTTCAACCACGTCTGGCGGGACCGCATCGGCACGGAGTTCCGCGACAACCCCGGCTGGCACGGCACGGAGCTCATGCTCGAGCTCGTCTTCCTCCTCGACATCGTGCTGAACTTCAACACGACCTTCTTCGAGGAGCTGAGCGGCAAGGAGGTCTTCGACCGGAGGCGCATCTCCGTCAACTACCTGCTGAACCACCACCACAAGGTCTACGCGCCGCTGGACGTGCTCGCGTCCGTGCCCTTCCTCGTGGAGACGGTCTGCGGGTTCACGGGCGCGACGATGGACCACAGCATCACCTACTTCAAGTTCTTCAAGCTCTGGCGCCTGGGCCGCGTCGTCCGCCAGTTCGGCACGATGAACAACCGGGCCGCGCGCGCGCTCTACCTCTTCGTGTCCTTCCTCCTCATCAACCACCTCATGGCCTGCGCCTACTTCTGGATGGTCGTGCGGCGCGCGCCCTACTACGGCGGCGACGAGACGTGGGACGGGCGGCCGTCGGACCCCATGCAGGGCGAGGCCTTCGGCCGCTTCTTCCCGCCCGAGGGCATCGCGGACGTGGCCCTGCAGCGCCAGTATCTCTACGCCTACTGGTTCGTCATCATGCTCTCCGCGGGCGACAACCCCGAGCCGACGGCGAACGACCAGTTCGCCTTCACGTTGAGCTCCTACCTCATCGGCCTCATCTTCAACGCGATCATCATCGCCGAGGTCACGTCGTTCTTCGCGACGATGATGGACAACACGGGGCGGATCCAACGGGAGCAGATGGACCACGTCGTCCAGACGTTGCGCTACAAGCGCGTCCCGGCCAAGGTCATCCACGAGGTGCGGAGCTACCTGAACTTCCAGTGGCAGACGCGCCAGGGCATGGACGCGCAGGACGTCTGCGACCTGCTGCCGCGGCACCTCGCGCGCAAGGTGCAGATGACGCTGGTGGTGACGGGCTACGCCGCGGACATCCCCATGTTCTCCATCCTGAACCAGACGATGAAGCTCAAGCTCATCGAGCACCTGGAGCGCCACGTCGTCGCCCCGAAGGAGACGGTCTTCAAGCAGGGCGAGGCGGCGACGTCCATGTTCTGGCTCGTGCGCGGGTCCATGACGATCTGGCGCCGCGACAAGCCCGGCGACGAGCCCGTCGTGCTGTCGAAGCTGATCCCGGGCCAGTCGTCGGGCGAGGCGGGGCTCTTCAGCCGCGACGCCTGCCACGACACGTCCGCCGTCGCCGACGGCGGCGCCTGGTGCGAGCTCGCCGTGCTCAGCGCCGCGTCGCTCTGCGAGCTCATCGCGGAGGACCACTCGATCCTCCACTGGCTCACGCTCAGCGCGCAGAAGGTCCAGCGGTCCATCGCGGATCGCGTCCACGCGCAGGCCAAGGCCCAGGCGCACCGCCTGAGCGTCGCGTCCATCGACGTGGCGCAGCTCGCGGCGCTGCAGCCCAAGGCCGGGTCCTTCGCGAAGCTCGAGCACATGGCGGACCCGCTCAAGGCGTTCCTCGAGTCCGCGGAGCACAAGCTGCTGGACCGCGAGGAGCGGCGTCCCGTGGCGGCGACGATTTTCGAGAGAGATTTTGACCGGGAACACGAAGAGACATCGTTACCGACGTGCTTCGTAGGCGAGGAGCAGCTCGCGGCCTTCGTCGACGACCACGTCCAGCAGCTCCGGCGGCGCCTGCACCACGCCTTCGGCTCCGACGACGGCACGGAGGCCGTGCGGAAGGACCTGGTCGCGGAGGTGCAGCAGGCCACGAGCGCGGAGACCTTCGCCAAGGGCCTGAGTTCGAACGACGAGGACGGCGCGCTCGAGGACACGGCGATCCTGCACGAGATCGTCGAGCGCGTCGAGGAGACGACGGACCGCTCGGACCGCCTGCGGCGGCGGGACAGCGAGCTCAAGCAGAAGCTCATGGCCGTGAACGCCTTCTCCGGCGGCCGGTCCTTCCGCGAGGAGCGCACGCTCGGCGCGATCGACCACGCGACGCTCAGCGCCAAGGCCAAGGTCCACGCGGCCGCGGGCGCCGTCAACGCCTTCAAGAGCCACCGCGCGGCGGCCTACGAGGAGGAGACGGAGCACGCGAAGGCCCTGGACGCGTTCCAGCGCGCGACGAGCCGCGTGCGGTCGTCGAACTACGAGTCGTCCAAGGGCCTCCACCGCCTCACGACCAAGGACGCGGGCCTCAAGTTCCGGCGCAGCGTCGCGTCCGTCGGCAAGGCCGCGGTCCTCGCGAAGCGGTCCGCGGGCGGGTCCCTGCGCAAGGTCCGGGACAGCCTGCCGAAGGTCCGGGCCAGCGTCAAGGTCCGGGACAGCCTCCGGGGCGCCGACGACCGCGGCGCCGACGCGCTCCCGCGGGACGCGCCTAAGGACTAGGGCGCCTTATCGGCCTTGGCCCGGAGGCGCTTCGCGCGCTGCTTCCGGTAGCTCCGGAACATGCGCCAGCACGTGACGCCGTTGACCGCGAGCATCATGCCGGAGCCGCCGACGGCCGTGATCATGCACACGGGCAGCGAGAACTTGGCGACGACGGCGCCGGACTCGTCGGAGAGCGAGAAGATGTGGATCGTCGGCGTCACCTTCCAGATCTCCCAGAGCAGGAACAGGTTCACGAGGCGGCTCAGCCCGAAGACGACGAAGCGCTTGAGGCCCCGGCTCCGGAAGCCCGCCTTGCGCCACTCCGCGTCGAGCCCCACGGCGCCGGAGCCGAGCTCGGCGATGGAGAACGCGACGACGGTCCAGTAGCAGCCCGGGCAGTGCGGCAGCACGAGCGACACGCCCGCGAGCACGGCGTGGTGGAAGACGAAGACCATCTCGTCGAGCATCTGCGGCAGGAAGCAGAGGAAGTCGGAGACGCAGTGCGCGAGCTGGAGACGGATGATCGCCGCGCCCGGGCCCGACACGCCGCCCGCGCACGACTCCGCCGCCGGCGCCTCCCACGCGTACGCGCTCCAGCACCCGGCGGCCACGGAGAGCACGTTGTGCAGCAGGCACACGGGGTCCCAGACGTCGCGCGACGCCTCGCTCCGGCTCAGCGGCCGCCCGCGCCGCGCCATGGCGGCGAGGCGCGCGGCGCACTTGACGAAGAGGTACGCGAAGGTCGCCGACAGCGTCGCGCGATGCTCGGCCCAGAGCCACTCGAGCGGCGCGGACCAGCGCCAGGACGTGAGGTCCAGCGGCGCGGCCATGCCACAGCTCGCCGACGGCAACGACGGCTTCTTACCACGTTGGATGCAGCCCCGGTGCCCTCGACCGAGACCCCCTTGCAAGGCACCGCGCGTCGTTCGCGCAGCCGCCGCGCCGTACGCCGCCCCGCGTCCACCGCCGGGGGCCGGGGCGCGCGCCGCCCCACGCCGCCGACCGCGCGCCCCGTCGCGCGCGCCCTCGCGCGTCCTCGCGACCACCGCGAACCCCACGAATTCGCAGGCGCCAGCCACCGCCACCGCCGCGCCGCGCCACTTCCGCGCCGTCACCATGCGCATGACCAGCGCGCTCATCCTGTTCGCCGCGGCGTGCGTCCCGCCGTGCGCCGTGGCCGACGACGGTCTGGATCGCGCCCTCCGGGTCATCGGCTGGACCGCGGCCGCGGGCTTTGCCGCGGGCGTTTGGTGGGGGCCCGAGCGGTCCCGCCTGGCGGCCGGCGACGACCTCCGCGCCGAGGACCAGGATGGCGCCGAGGACCAGGCGGCGGCCAAGGGCGCCTACGCCAGCCCCGCCGCGAGCCCCCAGCCGGCGTCGGCGCCCGCGCCGGCGGATCAAGTCCTCGAAGACAAAGACCTCAGATTGTGTCTGCATTTCTGTCAACAGATTGCCTTGTTCAAGGAAATGGATGAAGAAGGCCGGTGGATCCAGCGGGAGTGCATTCCTTTCTGTGCCGGGGAGTTGGAGTTTGCCATCGGAGACCGCGTGCAGCTGGAGTTGACACACTGGCACGGTGAAGACGACAAGTGGAGCCGGACGGGCACGGTGCTTGGAGTCGATGATTACCAGGGCATCCTTAGTTTCAGAGTCATGCTCGACGGGGGGCGCTTCGCTCGAAGTTTTGAGTCGCGCCATCTCGAGAAGCTCGAGAACCCGGCGCCGAAGCACGAACGTGAGCCAAAGCCCGAGGCTGAGCCCGAAGCCTTCAAGGTCACTTGCCTGTCCTTCGACCGTGGAGACGTCTGGAAATGCGTCACCATGATCCTGGTGTCTACGTCCATGGGGACCGTCCTCCTAGCCGTCCTCCTAGCGTTCGTCCAGGCGTCCGAACCCTGACGCGCGCTCCCCCCTCCCACACCCTTTTGCGCCACAAAACCCCGCCCACACCCCGCTGCGCCACAAAACCCCTATAAGAAGCTCGTCTGCGTCGACGAGTCGAAGCGGGAGTCGAGCTGGCGCGCCTGGGAGATCAGCTCCGCGGCCTGCTTCGGGTCCATGCGGCGCGCGCCCATGTCCTCGCGGCTGAAGTTGAAGCCGCCGGGCTTCTTGCCCGCCGGCGGCGCCTTGGGCGCGGCCTGGAACGTGTCGACGAGCGCGGGCCCGCGCGCGGCGCGGTCCGCGGCGCGGCGCTCCGCGATGGCCGCGAGCTCGGCGTCGGACTTGGGCCGGGGCGCCGGCGCCTTGGCGACGAACGCGGATTTCGCCGGCGGCAGGCCGTCCTTGCCGAGCGCCGACAATTCGGACGCGGACGGCGGGACCATCATCCAGCCCTCGCGGCGGCCGCCGCAGTCGCCGCGGCCGCCGTCGGCCGCCGTCGTCCAGCCGCCGTGGTCGTCGGCCACCGCCGGCCGCTTCCGCCGCGCGGGCGCGCCGCGCGCCTCGAGCTCCGCGGCGGCCGTCGGCAGCGGGCCGACGTCGTCGTCGTCGTCCGACGACGCCGCGGCGGCCGCGCGCGACGCCGCGTCGACGCTCGGCGCGTCGACGGGCCGCGCCGGCCCGACGGGCGCCGCGCGGCGCCGCGGCTCCGGCGCCGCCGCCAGCGCCGCGGCGAGCGCCCGGAGCGCGTCGCGCGTCGCGGACCCGTCGGCCGCGTAGCCCGGCGCGCCGCCCAGGTCGTCGCGCGGCGCCGCGCGGAGGCCGTAGCCCTGGAGCACGTGCTCGAAGGCGCCGCGCGCGTCCTCGTCCGCGACGCCGGCGCAGTCGACGGCCTCGCCGGCCGCCAAACGCTCGAGCGCCGCGGGCAGTTCCGCGCGGAACCGCGCGTCGAAGCACGCGCAGTCCTCGGCGGCGCGCGCGGCGCCGAAGCCGCGCCGCGCCGCCGTCGCGCAGGCCGCCGCGCGCCGGAGCACGTCGCCGCGCGCGTCGGTCTTGCGCCGCTTGTAGGCGCCGCCCTTCTTGCCGGCGACGAGGCCCACGGCGTCGAAGAGCGCCGCCATGTGCGCATTGCTGGGCTCCACGGCGTTGCCGCCGTCGGCGCTGTCGAGCAGGCGCACGAGGGCCTCGGGCTGCGACGCGCCGAGCGCCGCGACGACGCCCTCCATCGTCGGAGAGCGCAGCTCGAGCGCGAGCGGCATCTCCGGCTGGCGCTGCTCCTCGCCGCAGAGCGCCGTGTCGGGCGCGCCACCCCGCCGCCATGAGCGCCCCGCCGGCCCCGAAGCGCCAGACGCGGCGCCAGGCGTCGAACCGGCCGGCCGTGGGCCAGTCGCGGTCCGTCGTGCGGAGCGACGGCACGGTGCTCGCCGCCGAGGTGCTCGAGGTCGACGAGGCCGGCGCGTGCCCGCGCTACTACGTGCACTACCTCGCCCACGACCGGCGCCTCGACGAGTGGGTCGACGAGGCCCAGTTCCACGGCTCCGAGGCCGACTGCGCGTCCGACGGGTCGCCCGCGAAGCGGTCGCACAAGCGGAAGCAGGAGGGCAGCGGCGGCAACGCGGCCTTCGGCCAGCTGCCCCACGCGCGGCGCGCGGGCGAGACGGACCCGAGCGTCGCCGAGCGGCTCGAGGCCGCGCGCGAGAAGATCACGCGCGTGAAGAACATTCGGGCGGTGGTCTTCTCCCGGTGGCGTTTGGAGCCGTGGTACTGGGCGCCCTTCCCCGAGACGTACCACGACCGCACGCTCTACGTCTGCGACTTCACGTTACGATACACGGCTTCCAAGCTGGCCATGGACGCGCACCACCGCTCCTACGCGGGGCCGCGGCGGCCGCCGGGGAACCGGTGCTACGGCCCCGACGGCGACGGCGTCTGCCTCTTCGAGGTCGACGGCTCGGCGCACGCGCTCTACTGCCAGAACCTGTGCCTGTTGGCGAAGCTCTTCCTGGACCACAAGACGCTCTACTACGACGTGGACCCGTTCCTCTTCTACGTGCTCACGGACTCGTCCGTCGGCGCGGACGGCGAGCCCGAGCACCGCGTGCTGGGCTACTTCTCCAAGGAGAAGCAGAGCGACTTCCACTACAACCTGGCCTGCATCCTCACGTTCCCCCAGTACCAGCGCCAGGGCCTGGGGACGCTGCTCATCTCGTTGTCGTACGAGCTCTCGAAGCGCGAGCGGAAGCTCGGGTCCCCGGAGAAGCCGCTGAGCGACCTGGGCAAGCTGAGCTACCGGAGCTACTGGTCCTGGATCATCCTCAACGAGCTCCGCGACTACGACGGCACGCGGTCCATGGAGGAGATCTCGCGGCACCTCGCGATCCGCATCGAGGACCTCCTCAGCACGCTCCACGTGCTCAACATGATCCGCCACTGGAAGGGCCAGCTGCTCGTGCGCGCCCACAAGGGCGACATCGAGGCCATGATCGCCGCCGTCAAGCGGCCGCCGCGCCTCTGCGACCCGTCCAAGGTCTCCTGGACGCCGCCCGCGACGCCGCCGCCGCCGCCGGCCGCGTCCAAGGCGAAGGATAAGGCGAAACCGTAGCGTCCGGGGGTCGAGGCACCTTACAGCTCGGCGCGGTCGGGCTCGCCGTGCCCGACCGCGGCGATGAGCCGGTCGACGAGGGCCTGGGGGAGGAGCTCGGGCTGCGCCTTCTCCGCGGGCGGCGCCGCCGCGTCGCGCACGGCGGCGACGAGCGCGTCGCAGTCCAGGGCGATGGCGTAGCGGAGGTCGCCGTCCAGGCCGTCCGCGCCCGCGACGGCCCGCCCGAGGTCGCCCGCCAGTTCGACGAAGCCGCCGGCCTCGCGCCAGCCCGCGCCGCACGACGGCGCGGAGGCGAGCGCGGCCTTGAGCGGCCGCTCGGCCCGGCGGTCCGCCGCCGCGAGCCGCAGGACGGCGCCGACGGCGGCGCACGCGTCCGGCGGGAGCCGGAGGCCCTCGTCCGCGAGGTCGCCCAGGAGCGTCGCGGCCTTGTCCGCCACGCCCCAGGCGCGGCCGTCGCCGTCGCCGCGCGCGCGCGCGGCGACGACGGCGCGCGCGGCGCCGTTCGCCGCGGACACGACGGCCCGCGTGCCCCGGCGGCCGAAGGCCCGCTGCGTGTCGCGGTTGCCGCGGAGCGCGGCGCCCAGCGCGTAGAGCGCCGCGCGATGGAGCGCCGGGTCGTCGTCGTCCTCGAGCGCGCGCACGAGCGACCCTAACACGTCGTCCTCGAGCGCCCATTTCTGGGACGCGTCGTCGTTCTTCACGGCCGTGCCGATCACGCGGCACGCGGCCGCGCGCGCCCGGGGTTCCGTGTCCGGTCCCAGGAGCGCGGCGACCACCGGCCAGCCCCCGAGCGAATCGTGGAAGTCCCTGGCCGCGTCCATGTCGCCGAGCTCGAACTCGAGCTCGTCGAGCTCGAAGGCCAGATTCTCCTTGTCGAGGAGCTTGCCGAGGCGCTTGCCCGCGGCCTTCGCGCCGTCCGTGAGCGTCTCGCTGAAGGACTTGAGCATGGCCTGCCGCGCGTCCCAGAGCGCGTCGAGCGCGGCGTCGTCGAGCGACGCGAGGTCGCCGACGTCGCCGAGCTCGTCCGCGGGCAGCCGGCCCAGCGCGCTGAGCATCGTCTCGCGCCGCGACATCGTCTTCGTCGTGTCCTCCTTGCGCGTCGCGTTGTCGACGGACTCGCGCCAGCGCCGCTCCATGGACTCGAGGCTCGCCAGCACCGTGGCGTTGACGTCGACGTAGACGCCGCCCGTCGTCGCGTCGACCTTGCGCGACCAGCCCTCGGGCACGGCCTCGCCCGCGGGCCAGGCGACCCACTCGCCGCCGCAGCACTCGAGGGCGAGGCCCGCGCAGAGGAAGGCGAGGACGGCGCGCATGGTCGCGTATGTGACGGTGTTGGCACTGTTCGGCAACGCCACGAGCAATGTGTAGGGCGGGTTTGTCGACTGCTACTGCCAAGTGGCGACGGCGCGACGCTGTTTGGCAATGGACGAGCAATGCGCAAGGGCGGCTAAGGCTAGTGACAAGTGGCAACTCGCCTTCCTGAAGGTTCAGAGAGCGATCGGCGCGAGGATGTTGCCTTTGGCACGTTCAATGCACAAAAAACGACCGCGCAGCAACGCGAACAACGCGGCTCTTAGCGCTCTCACCAATCCCGCCGCTGTGCACAGCGGCTCGGATCGCGGCGGCGTTGCAGGCGCGTCGCCGTCGTCCGCCGTCGCGTCGTCGGCCGGCCGGGGCCCGCGGACCGCCGGCGCCCCGGCGCCGAAGCGCGCCGCCTCCCGCGGCGTTGCAGTTCGGGGGTATCGCTCAACAACAACCCGCGCTGCACCGCGCACGTCGAGCACGCACGCACGCCCGCGACCACCGCCGTACGCCGCGCGCGCCGCGGCCATGGACCTGGAGGACGACTACGGCGTCGGCGGCGACGACGACGACCTCAAGCGGCGCCGGTGGACGAAGCGCGAGGACGAAAAGCTCCGCGCGGGCGTCAAGGCCGTGGGCTCCGGCGACTGGGCGGCCGTGTGCAACACGTACCTCGGCGGCCACGGCCGGTCGCCGGAGCAGTGCCGCCACCGCTGGGAGCACGTGCTCAGCGAGGGCCTCGTCAAGGGCGCGTTCACGGAGGACGAGGACGAGATCATCGTCCGGGCCATGAAGGAGGGCCGCCAGCTCACGTGGATGCAGATCGCCGCGCGCATCCCCGGGCGCATCGGGAAGCAGTGCCGCGAGCGCTGGACGAACCACCTCGACCCCTCCCTCAAGAAGGGCGGCTGGACGCCCGAGGAGGACTCGATCATGGCCGAGGCGCAGACGCGGTGGGGCAACGCGTGGACCAAAATCGCGGAGCTGCTGCCCGGCCGCGCGGAGAACGCCGTCAAGAACCGCTGGAACTCGGCCTTCCGCCGCAACAACTCCGCCGTCTTCGGCAAGGCCACGGGCGAGAAGGCGCAATCGGCCGTCGCGACCGCGCGCGTCGCCATGGAGCTCATCGACCGCGGCGACGGCGGCGCGCGCGACGCGGGCGGCTCGGGCCGCCGCCGGCCGCCGGCCGCGTCGGCCTGGGACGCCGCGGCGCCGCCGCCGCCGCGCAAGCGCGCGTCGACGCCGCCGGCCGCGCCGCCGCGGGGCGCGCGGTCGCCGGCCGCGCGGCCGTCGCCGCGGTCGCCGGAGCGGCGGCGCCACTTCCACTTCCCGCCGCCGGACGCCGGCGGCGCCGCGCCCGACGGCCTCGACCTCGTGATCCTGGCCATCGAGTCCGAGCAGGCGTCCGCGCCGCCGTCGCCGTCGCGCGGGCGGTCGCCGCCGCGGCCGCTCGCGTCGCCGCGCATCGGCGACGCGAGGCGCGGCTACCGGCCGCGCCTCGACGCGGCGGAGGCGGGCCCGCCGTCGCCCGCGCTGAGCTCGCCGAGCCGGAAGCGGCGCCGCGACCGGCCCTTCTTCGCCGACGCGGACGCCGCCGCCGCCGAGGACGAGCCCGAGCCCGCGCCGACGCTGCGCTGGCCGCCGCCGGCGGGGAAGCTCACGGCGGCCCAGGCCATGGACCGCTTCCCGGCGATCCGCAACCACAACCAGCTCCGGCAGCTCGAGCGGACCAAGGTCCGGCGCCCGGCGATGGGCCGCGCGTCCGGGTGCGACATCTTCGTCTACGACGGGGCCGGAAAAGAGTGATTCAAGTTCGCTTCAACATGAGTGTTCCGCGCGCGCGCGTTCCGGAAACAGCATCCACGCTTCGAGAGCGCTCCGAGAGATGATCGCTCGTCCAAAGATCAGCCGAAACGAGCGGAAAACGGCCGAGATAGGAGCCTTTGAAGTTGGGAATTTTGCACCCTTTTCCTGCCCAGGTCTACGACGAGCGCGAGCTCCGCGACTTCGCGGAGGCGCTCGGCCGGGACGAGGGCACCCGGTGCGACGAGGGGCCCGCGTCGCCGGGCCGCGGTGGCGCCTGGGCGCCGCCGCCCGGGAAGATCACCGCGCAGCTCGCGATGGACGCGTTCCCGTCGATCCGCCACCGGGACCAGCTCCGCCACCTCAAGCGGTGCACCGTGCGGCGGCCGACGCTGGGCCGCGCGGCGGCCTGCAACGTCCTCGTCTTCGACGAGGCCGAGGTGAAGGAGCTCGCGCGGACGCTGTCCGAGTCCGCGGACGACGACGCGGACCACGAGGACGCGTCGACGTGGGCGCCGCCCGACGGCAAGCTCACCACCAAGATGGCGCTGGACAAGTACGGCCTGCGCCACCACGACCGGCTGCGACACCTGCCGCGCGAGGTCGCGCGCCGGCCGACGCTCGGCCGCGCGGCCGCGTGCAACGTCATCGTCTTCGACGACGCGGACGTCCGCGCGCTCGCGGAGAGTTTAGGCGGCCGCGTCGACGACGACGACGCGCGCGGCTGGGCGCCGCCGGAGGGCAAGTGCACGGCGACGGACGCCATGCGCGACCACAAGGCCATCCGCAACCACAACCAGCTCAAGCACCTCCACCGCGTCAAGGTCCGCCGCCCCGCCGCGGGCAAGGCGAGCGGCTGCGACATCTACGTCTACGAGAAGGCCGACGTCGCCGCGCTCGCCGCGGCGCTCGAGGGCGGGGAAGGGGCCGACGTGTCCTCCGCGGACTCCAAGGAGGACCCGGACGCCTGCACGTCCCAGGGCTCGTCCCTCGCCGGCGACGTCGACCCCGGCCGCGACGCGCCCGCGCCGCCGCCCGCGCTCGAGCGCGTCGACGCCGCGGCCGACGCGGAGGACGCCGCCGACGCGGACGCGCCGCCGGACAGCCCCGTGGCCGTGACGACGGACGTCGACGCGCCGCCGCCGGAGACGCCGCCCAAGCCCGACGCCGAGGACCGCTTCCGCGCCGTCGCGCCGCCGCCCGAGCCTGTCCTCGCGAACTGAGCCGGCGACCGCCGGGCGCCGCCCAGAAGACCGCCGCGGCGCCCGCGCGACCCTTTTCCCCCGCCCCCCCCCC